AATCCTTATTAATTTCATGTGGTTAAAATTCATGAACATTAAGTCTGGTGTATCACCTGAGAACCCTCCAGCTGCCAGTATGCTCCTATTGATTAGAAAAGTGGCAGAGTCATTCTTTATAAGCATCTATGGAATATCTAGTATATGCTTAGCATTGTGTTCGTTGGTAGAGAAATAAAGATTTAAAAAAAAAACATGGTTTCTGTCCTCAAGGAATTCAAACTAAATGTTCAGTGTGACGGATTAGTGATTTTATATATATTTTTTATTATTTATTTATTTATTTATTTATTTTTTGATTTTATATATTAAACTGATTAACAACGTCATTCTGTTTACCTCAATTGGGTTATAATTATGAGTTCATAGAACATACTGAACTAATGTTTTCACTGATGAAAAAATGTCATTTCAAAATTAGTTTATTACATATAATTTTGTAAAATGGGTATTTAAAATATTGTAATCTATGTGGATATGTACATGTATTGTACACGTGCATATGCACATGTAAAAGAGTTGGAAAACATCTACCTATTTAAAGTAATTCTGTGTAGTAGGTAACAACATTTAATGAGTTTTATAAGTAGAAAGGGGGCAAAAATGAAATCTCTTAAAGAAAATAGAACAATTAAATTGGGAAAATTGGACATCCACATGCAGAAGAATGAAACTAGACCACTCTCTTGCACCATACACAAAGATAAACTCAAAATGGATGAAAGATCTAAATGTGAGACAAGATTCCATCAAAATCCTAGAGGAGAACACAGGCAACACCCTTTTTGAACTTGGCCACAGTAACTTCTTGCAAGATACATCCACGAAAGCAAAAGAAACAAAAGCAAAAATGAGCTATTGGGACTTCATCAAGATAAGAAGCTTTTGCACAGCAAAGGATACAGTCAACAAAACTCAAAGACAACCTACAGAATGGGAGAAGATATTTGCAAATAACATATCAGATAAAGGGCTAGTTTCCAAAATCTATAAAGAACTTATTAAACTCAACACCAAAGAAACAAACAATCCAATCATGAAATGGGCAAAAGACATGAAGAGAAATCTCACAGAGGAAGACATAGACATGGCCAACATGCACATGAGAAAATGCTCTGCATCACTTGCCATCAGGGGAATACAAATCAAAACCACAATGAGATACCACCTCACACCAGTGAGAATGGGGGAAATTAACAAGGCAGGAAACAACAAATGTTGGAGAGGATGTGGAGAAAAGGGAACCCTCTTACACTGTTGGTGGGAACGTGAACTGGTGCAGCCACTCTGGAAAACTGTGTGGAGGTTCCTCAAAGAGTTAAAAATAGACCTGCCCTACGACCCAGCAATAGCACTGTTAGGGATTTACCCCAAAGATTCAGATGCAATGAAACGCCGGGACACCTGCACCCCGATGTTTCTAGCAGCAATGTCCACAATAGCCAAACTGTGGAGGGAGCCTCGGTGTCCATCGAAAGATGAATGGATAAAGAAGATGTGGTCTATGTATACAATGGAATATTACTCAGCCATTAGAAACGACAAATACCCACCATTTGCTTCAACGTGGATGGAACTGGAGGGTATTATGCTGAGTGAAGTAAGTCAATCGGAGAAGGACAAACAGTGTATGTTCTCATTCATTTGGGGAATATGAATAATAGTGAAAGGGAATATAAGGGAAGGGAGAAGAAATGTGTGGGAAATATCAGAAAGGGAGATAGAACATAGAGACTCCTAACTCTGGGAAATGAACTAGGAGTGGTGGAGGGGGAGGAGGGCGAGGGGTGGGGGTGAGTGGGTGACGGGCACTGAGGGGGACACTTGACAGGATGAGCACTGGGTGTTATTCTGTATGTTGGTAAATTGAACACCAATAAAATTTAATTTATTAAAATAAAAAAAAGAACAATTAAATTGTGAAATAATATTCTACTAAAGGAGAAGATACAGAGACTTCAAAGTAATTTTAGACTTTATGGCATCAGAACTATTTTTTATCACAAGTACTATCTAGCTTTGCTACTCAGACAAAGCATGAGAAGCAACAGGAGTAAGAGTATGAAGCGAAGTTGGCTTTATTTTCATCTCCAGTTGACTTATTAGAGTACACATGATTAAGTTGATGTATCAGGTAAGTATTATTTAAGGCACAGATTTGTCCTGTACTTCCCTAAATAAGTAAAGAAAATCATGACCCATAGGCCAGTATTAGATGTGTGTATGTATGCATATGTAAGTGTGGGTATATTTCTGTATGTGTATATAAACATAATTCATTTGTGATAATACATGTGACATCAATCTTATATACCCATCTTCTAACCACTCATCTATCTGCCTTCCTATCTATTCCTCCACCTGTATCTATTTATATTTTTCCACATGTACAGTTCACATTAATAATATGTTCAGTTCTAAAATTTTACTCTTTTTGAGATAATATTTTAATTTGATGTATTTTCTGTACATGTAGATATTAATACCTCCTGGTTACAAAGATCTTTAAGATTCTGTAAGCATTTCACATATATGGTATATCATCTGCTTTTCTCTAAAATCTCCAGAGATGTTAAGATGATGCCACCAGCTTCATTTTGCAAATAAACCAAGACTTGAGATCACAGGACTTTTCTGAAAAACACAAAACCTGAATTTGCCCTCATTACCAGAATTTAGGGCAGATGGTTTCAAATCAAAAGTTCAGGAGGTAGCATGGCCTCTAGAAAAGATGTTAAGCTTCGGAACAATTATACCTCCACAACTTTCATTCTTTGCCTCACAAAACTGGATTGTTCTCCTGTAGATTTTCAGATTCTTTGTAAATAAGCCAATGCAGGGATATCCACCTTGCGTATTTTGAGCATTGGAATTGGTTCATCAAAGTGCCCTGGTGCCTGTCTAGTACTTTGTAGGAGCTGAATACACACACTGCTTTTTATTCTATAATATCATGTATTTGATTTATGTATGCCAGTCAGCAAAGGCATAGATGCATTGGCTGTCAAATTATTGATTGAATGATTTCTATGGAATTCACAATTTGAGATCAATTCTTCTATTTCACAGAGTGTTTCTGTTTCTGTTCATTATCAGTTGATCTGTACTCACAGACTGCAAACCCATTTAAATATTACTATAGAGGTGCCTGGGTGGCTCAGTCAGTTGAGCATCTACCTTCGGCTCAGGTCATGATCCCGGGATCCTAGGATGGAGCCCTACATCAGACTCCCTGCTCTGCCTCCCTCTACCTCTGCCCTCCCCCTCTCTCTTTCTCTCATGAATAAATAAATAAAATGTGAAAAAAGCAAATAAATATTACTATATAAAGCACTTAATTTAGAAAGTAAAAACTTTCTGCAAACAAGTGATATTTCTTATTAACAAATTTATAAGAATTGATTTATGATTTACTTAATAAATGCAATTATTTCCATTCATTACTGGATTAACAATAGTTGAATATGGATATTATTAGGATTAAATAGACAAAGTTGAATGTCTATAATTAGAGAAAAATTAAATTCATAAGGGCATTTTTGGTTAATCTTAATTCTTAAATATATTGGTCTGAGTATTGACAGTTATTAGTAAAAGAAATTTTACATTTCATATTCTTACATTTTATATCACAAAACAAAGCTACATATTATATTCTGTGTGTATATATATGTGTATATATATGTGTGTATATGTATGTGTATGTGTATACATGTGTATGTATGTGTATACATATACACACATTTCAATTTTGACAGAAATAAGGCTCAGTGAAGCCAAATATCAATTACTGATATACACATAAATATATATTATTAAATATAGGTATTTGTGTGTATCCAGCATATATTGACATGCAGTAGGTCAGTATTTCTGTGTAACACCCATATGTATACGTATGTGTACATCTATTTATGTATTAATAATAGGAATAAGGTTCTGAGTAGTTACATAATTATCAATTCAATCACTATTACTGATTTGGTAAGTAAACATATTAGCATTTTGTTTTCGGATTTTTTAATGTGATTTTTTTTGTTTTTTTAATAATCAAGTATATTTACTGCATCAGTATGAGTAATTATTGTATGAGCTAAATCTCCATCTACAAGGAAGAATCTTCTTTAGATTTTTCTTTAAAAAAAAAAAGAATTGTGTATATATGTGGGTGACAGTAAAAAAGTTAAAAGAAAACATGATCTCAACAAAACTTAAAGTTTTTAAAATTAAACATCATCCTTGTCAATGTTCACCTTTCCAGCTGGTTCATGATCAAATCTGTTATAAACCCCACAATGTTTATTCAGTTTTTATTCATTGATGGAGTTCCTCCTGATTGTCAGGATGAAATGACAATAGTCTCCAATAATGACAATGACTTGCAATAAATAATCAAGCAAAATTTATCTGTGCTCAAAATATTCATACATCATATTTTTTGAATAATTCAATGATGTGTGGGAACAGAGGGGCTATTTTTGAGAAATTTGGCCCACTTAATCTTTTGCAAGTAATTAATTGGTGCAATCACATTGTCATTCTTTCAATGTCTTAATGTCAAAATGCAGGGAGAAATTTGATACCTAAGTGACACAGCTTATCATTTCCCAAGTACTAAAATGTTAAGGAACATAATTTAAAAATGTATGGTATTTTGAAGTCACTCTTATATGCTATTTCACACACAGTTACGCTGATCATGTTATACAGTGTAACTCCTATAGATAAAACTGAATAATAAATTTTGGTCAGGCCTTGTCCCCACTCGAAAAGGAATTCTTTCATTTAAATAGCAGGGTCCGTAAAAAGCCAAATCCTAGGAATGAAAGAGTTTAACACTGACTTCTAAAAATTAGCTTTCTGTCACATCACTTTTTCCTTCAGGCATTTTTTCAGAGATTTTGGCTGATTTGATTAGAAAGCAGAAGGTTAAATTCTCACACAGCGATCATGAGAAAAAAGAGAAACAGAGCAAGTACTAAAGCTGGCTTTGCACCTACTGAATGCTGCAAGTGTCTGTACTCATTTGATATGCATCTTGCAAAGCTCGGCTGTTCCCAGAAGGCCACTCCATGAAGGCTGAGAGAGCAGCGTCTGCTAGTGGTGCCTGAGAGTCACAAAGAACAGAGAGAAGCTTTATAACAGAGATGCTAGAAGGCATCATATCATTGGGAGGCAGGCTAAAAGCATTGGGTTTGTACATTCTGTTGCCTTAAAAAAACATGCATATGAAAATATTACGCTGATGATTTTTATAGCCCATGTGAATCACACAGAGAAACCACTGCATTAGCAATAATTTCTAGGTCTCTTCATTGGCTCCATCTATGAAGCACTTTACTAAAATTACTTTATGAATTGCTTATTGGGAAGATTTATCTTGCATAGAGGACAAAAGCATGACTTCATAAGCAACCATAGCATGCTGTTCGTGGATGGTCATCATCGGATAGGTTTGGGTGGGCCATCATACTTTACCTGTGGCATTCAGCGGGCACTGATTGAATGCCAAGTCACCTGCTGGGGTCCTTTTCCACACCATCGACATCAGATAATCCTCTGGGCATATTTCATAAGGTGCTGCAATTTAAAACAGAGGGATTCAAATGCCAGCAGTGTTTGTTTTTGTAAATATTGGCAATAAACGGTCCTCAAATGCATCTCTCTATCTGCAGAGCTCTTTTATTTTCCTTAACATGTATCATTTGCTGAAATCTTAGTGATGTCTTTATAAACAAAAAAAACACCAGGTTTCATTTGATTATCTTCAAAATCTTCACAAAAATGTTCTTTTCAAAGTGCTTACTGTGGAGACTTTTTTAAAAAGACATTTGAATTTGCTTATAAATTGAACATTACATTCAAGCATATAAATCAAAAATCTTTCCAATATTCATAATGTTTTGAAATATTGTGCAATAAAATGTTTTCCAATAAACTGAAAGCCGTATTAGAATTATTAACTCTAAGTGTTAAGACAAGTAAACATTAAGGGGAAAAATATGTAACTTTTTATTCTTCCTCCAAGAGCAATGATGTCAATCAGACTACATCATATAAAAATAAACTGATTTGATCTTTTGGCCTTCATATTTTCAAAAATTCAATTTAATTACTGAGATGATAAAGTTAAAGGGAATTTCAAGAATAACAGACGTTTACCAGAAATATTTTAATAGGAAGCCAAAGGCTTTGTGAAGTCTGTCTATACTGGGTCTAAACACCTTGCTGTCAATACAATTTGCTCCTGGATAGAACATACCCCTTTCTCTAGACACCTACTCTTGTGCTTTTCACACAGAACAGCCATGGATGTGTTCACATATTTGTTTTCCGTACTTGCTTGGCATCTTGTCTTCTCATCTTTGTATCCTGCACCTAAAGTTTTGTCTGGCACATAGAAGTTGTTCAAAATTGAATAAACAAATGAATCAATATTTGAATATATCAAAACCTTTAATAAGTACATAAGGACCAAAAAAATAAGTACCTCATAGGTATATACATGAGTGTGACTTCCTGGGAGAGATTTCTTCCTTTGAGGACAATATATGATTTAACCCATGCTGATCATAATCAACAGGCACTGATTCTACTTCCAAATTTATGAGATCATTAGGATATATTATAATTATTAGTGGGCAAGAATACAATTTGAGAAATTATAATCTTGAAATAATATTTTTTTAATCTGGGGTAGCAGGGGCAGAAACATTTGCTCTTCTTGGGGGTGGGGATCAGACAAAATGGGCAGAGGGGTTCCCAGTTTGCTAATCTCCATGGTCAGTGTGGAAGAGGGTGGTTACAGGTGTTTGGCTGGTGGTAGCTGATGCAACCCTTCATTTATTCTTCTGCTGTTTCTATTCTTGCCATATTGGAGGGACTGTCCCTACCTTCACGTGAGTTATATTATTTTTGCGTGTGATTTTTAAAAATTTTATAATTTTTGATTTTTTATTTATGATGACTCCACCTCTATTAATCATCACTAGTTGTAGGTCCAGCAGACTCCGTGGCAAATCATGCTCTTGGGTCCTGGGAAAGGGACAGGCCAGCCTGAGCTCTCCTGTCTCCCCTGTCACAGCCTGGACACGTAAGACAAGATAAGATGAATGGTTTAAACATGTGGGCATTTTAGAACTGAAAGTGACACTGAAAATCACCTATTCCATTTCCTTCTTTACAGATGAGGGCACCAAGGCCCTAAAGAGGCTTGTTCAAGGTGACTGAGCTGGTGGAGGAATCAACAGGACTAGAGTCTAGAATCCTAACTCCTCAGTAGCCTTTGCTTTGACTTCCTGCATATCTTCTTTGCTACTTGCAATTATTCAAGGTAATTGTTCTCATGCTCAGTTTATATATATATTATATGTATATGATATATATATATTATATATATATATATCATCTAGGTGCCCATTAAAATATTTAGGAACAGTTTCCAATTTAAGGAATCTTCGTTTGGTGGATGGTTTAGCAGACGATTCAACCTTTGCCAGCCCCATTTTCACAATATATTTCCACTTTACCCCACCAGTGATCTCCTAAGGGCCACACCTAATGCACTCATCTCAGTCATCACTCACTGGACTGTCACCACAGTGCTTTATACTCTGACTTCTCCCTCCTCCTTGAGAATACTTTCTCTGGGGTTCTAAAAAGCTATTATTCTCTCTCAGGGCTCCACCAGACACTTGGACAGTTCTTTCTTGGTCCTTGGCCCCTATGTCCTTTGCAGAATCATCCATGCCCAATTTTTTCCTTTGTTAAGTGCTTTCCTTAGATAATTTCAATGTATTAATAACAGTAATAGTAATAGTAATAATAGTGAGTATTAAAAGTCTTACATGCATGGACTCATTTAATCTTCCCCAATAATCTTATGAGGTAGAGATTAGTAGTCTCCTTTACCACATGGGGAAATAGGCAACAGAGAGATAAATAATAATAATAATTATTATTATAATTAATATAATTATATATAGTTATATAACTATTAATATTTAAGATTAAATAATGATATTATTATTATTTAAGATTCTAAACATTCTTTTTATTATGTATTGGTTCTAGAGGAAAAACTAAGTAAAGGAGTGGATGAATGGAGGAGGAGAGGGATGGGAGGCATCATCACCACCCCTCCCCCTTCAGGGGCCAAGTGTGCCCTTCTGACCTCTTCAACTTATCCAGGCAATGATGGGGGCAGGAGATCTTAGGCTGGCTTACCGGAACATCCATCCTGTACCATTTGAATGAGGGGGGAGAACCTCATTGGTCCACTCAGCATTTACCTGACCTATGCTATGCTCTGTTCTAGGGAGAGTCAGTGGTGTATGAGAGCAGCACTCTTGACCTCTTGGAGCTTCCAGTCAAAGGGAGGAGGCAGAAGGAAAACCAATTGAACATACCATTACATGAGGACAATTATGATAAGCTCTGCAAATAGAACTACAGAATGTTATTTCAATCTAAAATTTGAAGAACGGAGAAAGGCTTCTTGGAGGAAGTGACACTACTGTGACTGGCTGGCTGCCTGGAGTGCAGCGAGTGCTGTAGGCAGAGTGAACTGTATGTACAAAGACCTGGAGCAGAGAAGAGGTTGGGGCCTCAGAGCAGTGGAGTTGGAGGGAAGAATTTTAGGAGTATGGAATGATGGGCTGGTGGACAGGCTAACAGTAGTGCCTGCAGGGACCTACAGGCAGCTACTAAGGGTTAAACAAAATATCAACATAATTCAATTTTTAATTTTAAGATCGGTTTGGGTGATGGACATTAAGGAGAGCACGTGGTGTAATGAGTACTGGGTGTTATATAAGTCTGATGAATCACTGACCTCTACTACTGAAACCAAAAGTACATCATATGTTAATTTATTAAATTTAAATTAGGGCAGCCTGAGTGGGTCAGCGGTTTAGCGCGGCCTTCAGCCTAGGGCCTGTTCCTGGAGACCTTGGATCGAGTCTCAAGTCTCACATCAGGCTCCCTGCGTGGAGCCTGCTTCTCCCTCTGCCTGTGTCTCTGCTCTGTGTGTGTGTGTGTGTGTGTGTGTGTGTGTCTCATGAATAAATAAATAAAATTAAAAAAAATAAATTTAAATTAAAAAAACGAAAGCAAAAAAAAAAAAAAAGATCGGCTTGCTTTCTCTGGGCAAAAGGGATGGGAGAGTAGTAGGTAGGGCAAGACAATTGAAGAGGTTAATGCAGTCCTTCAGTGTTGAGACGATGGTGGCTTTAGGTAGGATCTTTAGACTACAGATGAAGAAAGGGGAATCCCTGGGTGGCTCAGTGGTTAAGTGCCTGCCTTTGGCCCAGGGCATAGTCCTGGAGACCCGGGATCTAGTCCCATGTCAGGCTCCCTGCATGGAGCCTGCTTCTCCCTCTGCCGCTCTCTATCTCTCTCTCATGAAAAAATAAATAAAATCTTAAAAAAAAAAAAAAAAAGAAAGAAAGAAAGAAAGGGTAGGCACAGATAAATTTAGAAAGTAGTAGACTAAATGATGTGAGGAATGAAGAATATTGCCTGATTTCTGAGCTGGAGAACTGGGCATAAAGTGGAACTATTTATTCTCTAGTATCTTCTACCTTTAATCCAATTTTCATGCCATATTAACAAAGTAATCTCCAAAATGAAGCTTAATCCCATAACTTGCTGCTTAAACCCTTTCCATGGTTCTCCAATACTGACAGGATAAAGATAACTATGCTCTCTGTGATAAATAAAGGCCCTTCTAGCAAGCTCTAAGCTAGCATTCTGGTTATGGTTCATATTTATACTCCTATACATCAGCCGCACAGAATTAATTCTCATCCTCCAAATATTCCACACCAGGTCACACATTCTCCTGTGTTTCCGTAAATGTGAACCAAAACTACTTTAGAATACGAAAAAGAGGAAAATCGTAATAAATGTTAAAACTCACAAACTACATTATACATAGTTTATGACATAATTGAATTCTATATAAAACAGCTAGTCTATTTTTAATAAAGGTACACCATTAATTAATCTATTAGAAACTTTACACTTATTCTTTTTTTTGTTCCATCTACACATCCACCTTCTGTTCAATATCTTTCTCCTTAAAACTTTATTTGTAATCCTTCACTTTCACTTCGCTTGTATTTTATTCCGTTTGTCAATGTTTTTAAACTACAATTTTCTTTAGTTCCATGATGAAATTTGAAATACATTTCATAAAAAGAGTTGTCAGAGCATTCATTTTTCTTTCTGATTTAATCTTGACCCAAACCAGTGAAGAAACTATTTGCACCCTAGACTTCCTCATTCCTCTGTTGTGGGTTCAGAAAGCTCTTCACACCTATTGTTATTCTGCCGAAAATCAGCCTCCTTCCCTGCGCCCTTCCCCCACCGTCGGCTGGCTGGTCAGAAGCTCTGGTAATTGCAAGCGTTAACCACTAGATGGCACAGGTGGGCCAACAGGGTGAAATGTTTACCGGGCTCGCAGCTGAAACTGATGAAGTTCAAAATTAAGGTGGGCAGAAGTAGTAATTGTCAGCTGGGGAATATATGGGTCAGCGCCTTTTTAATATATATATATATATATATATAATATATTATAA